CAACTAATAGAAGCAAGTTTGGACCATGACATCTTTTCTTTTCAATGCATGCAACGTTCCATCTCAAATGAATGCACGCCTTCAACGTACTTTTTACTCCAGAATTCATTTTTCCAATAGCAAAATAACACTCTAAGATTGTCAGGAACTGGTAGGAAAGAAACGATTGAAGGCGTGATTAGATCACTCTCCTTAGAGTGTTATTTTCCCCCACTATAAATTGTTGGTAGGATTGAGCAAACCACCCCCAGGAGTCCCTTCAATTCTATGTCTGGAAGCAACAATCTTACAAACTTCTGTGGTTATGAAATAGAGAAGGAAAACGGGAAGAAGAAGAATTCTCTCTCGTCTCATGTTAAAAAGAGTTATGGCAGTCCTCCATTTATACTTGAGAAAACTAAAAGTTATCTCCCGAAGAGATATATCCTTTCACAGAAAAAGGTAGTTACCTCTCTCGAAAGGACACATCCTTTCATAGAAAAAATGTAGTTACCTTTCCCAAAAAGACACATCCTTTCACAGAAAAAGAGAAGTTACCTTTTCTGAAAGGATACCACTTTTCACAATATTCAAACACTAATTAATTAATTAGTTAAACTGCCAAAAGACTCAATTCTTAGACTTTCCTTCTCCCATCAATGTGGTATTACAACTCTATTCACTAACTCTAACAGTTAAACCCAAGAGAAGAGGGTGAGTTTCTAGAGAGAGAGAGGAGAGATTACAAAGAAACCTCTAGATCTTCATCTTCTTCTTCTAGGCTTGATTCCTAGCTTCCAAGCTTGATCAATGCCTTCAATTAAACTCCAAGATCACCCTCTCTCTCTCTCACTAGAACTCCCCTTTGGTGTTTTGGATTGAAACCCTAGAGAAAGAAAGTGTTCCTTCTCCAAAAATCAGCTCTCCTTCTTCTTCCTTCTGCTGCTGTTTTTATACCCAGGTAGAGCCCAGTTCATGGCCTTTGTTCACAGTCGTGAACACCTTAACGCGTCTGTGAACTCAGCTTCGTCTCCAAAACGCACCGCTTCACTCTCCGGGATTCACGGTTTGCACTCACAGTTCACGGTCTTAGAGACCGTGAACTGCCTGGTCGTCAGTAACCCCTGAAACCTCGTTGGATGCCTCGCTGTTCACGGTTTGAGGTTCCAGTTCACGTTCTTGGGAGACCGTCAACTCCAATGTTGGATCGTGAACTGCGATTGCTTCATGGACGCCTGCGCTTCACTGTTACGGGGCAATTATCACGCTAGGTTGGACGTTTTTTTCACTTTTTGGCACTTTTCGACCTCCAATCGACCCGAAACTCGTCCTCGACCTTCCCACACATGCTAGGACCTGAAATGTATCAAAACAAGCACAACCTAGCGTGAAATATGTCGAGGGACGGTGAAATGCAAAGTCAAACTATTGAGATATGAGGGGTAAAATATGTACAATTGAACCCGAATCAGAAAGCAACGGGTCCATAATGTCGTATTGGGTAGTGACAAGAAGGTGTAGCCCAATCGTGGTAATTTTGGTTAGCACCTCAATTGTCTCCCTCGTTTATTCGGTACACCACTCCGGGTAGCGCAATTGGGTAGGGTTGGATGCACTCGAATAGGGGGCCCAACCTAGTCCAGCATTCACCGCGGTAGAAATAGGGAGTCAATCAAACTAGGATGGTACTCTACAGCGATCCAAATGACGGAACTAGGGGGAATCAAGCTAAGAGAGGTCCCCACTTGTAATTAGTTAGGGTAGTGGTTAGGTTAGTGTGGCTAGGATAGTTTTTTAATCACGATTCTAGGGTGGCTAGATAACGAAACTTTAAGCCGAAGTAATGTACATCTAGAGACCCGTGGTTTGATAATGTTATTACTTGCTTACCCTATGCTACACCCGGTCGTTGGTTATACTTGGTCTTCGATTGAGAGTTGTAGTTAGAGCGAGCCAGTTATTTAATACTAATTAGTATCTGAGTAATCTATTATACATAATTTATCATTTAAATTTTAAGCGAGGCATATTTGATCTAGTCTTCAAATTCTTAAACAACATATATGGTGAGATATATAATCTAACAAACCTATGAATTATTAACAAAACAATGATAAGGATTAATAGATTCGATTTTAAGATGCTAGTTGAGGTGACTCACTACCTGTATTGTTGAGCCATCTCATAGCTCAAAATGAGTTAGCTCATGAGTTGAGCTCAATAAGCCACCAAGTCGAGCTGGCTCACCATCCTTAGGAACCGAACAAGGAACAAACTTGGCTCGTTAGTAAACAAGCCAAGTGTTGAACGAGATTTTCTCAAGTCGAACATTAAGCCGCTCGTGAGTAGTTTAGCTCATTGGTATACACATATTTGTGTATAACTAGATTTGATCCCGTAATTTTGAATGAGGTAAGATATAAGGGTTGATATTAAATGACATATTATTTTTCTACATTTTAATCGGCTTGTATCTTCATTACTTTAACTAGATTTTAAAAAAATTCAAACATATGGAACAAGTTCATAATAGACCTGGCAATCGGGTCGGGTTGGGTAATTTCGGGTTGGGAATTTTGGTTACGGGTCGGGTCATGTTTGGTTGGCTTATTTCTGATCAAATATTGATCCAACCCATTCGGTTTCGGGTCGGGTTACAGGTCATTTCGGGTTATGAGCGTTCTCAAAAACAATATCAAACATGCTTCATATTTTCTTAAAGAACACAAATTTTCACATATGCATGACAGTAGTTTACCTTACACATGTCAATTACCATATTCTCAAATACTCTCATGCTAATAAAATGAAATATAAATTCCGCAAATCGTCAAAAAACATACACAAGAGTAATACTACTACAAAAAACACATGATATTTGATTATCCTTAAACTCCAATCTGTCATTCAAATCTTTGTAATTTTTTTTAAAACATCTCACCAATTTATGAGTGATTTTATCATAATTCGGGAGTAATATATTAAATGGAACGGGTCTAACGGGTCGACCCGCTAACCCACCCAACCCGACCGAAAAAATCATCGGTTAGCGGGTTCGGGTCATTCGGATTTCGGGTTACAAAATTTTCTAGTTTTCGGGCGATTTCGGGTCGGGTCAACGGATCGGGTTGTAATTTACCAGGTCTAGTTCATAACGATCTACTAAATGATATTCAATTTCGATATATTTTGACAAACTCTTTTTTACCACGCATTACTACTCATTACCACTTTGGTAATACTTTGTACCACGTTTTTTAACTCAAATTTTAGAAATATTTGTACAAAATGAATGAGGTCATTTTTGTATATTTTGATATAAATTTATTAATTTTTTCCAGAACCATATATACCACCATTTTATGGAGTGATAATTGGTGGCAGGCAAGGATGCAATATGGTAACTCATAAATGATGGTTATAATATTCCTATTATTATATATACAATCACTCTACACTATAATATATTTACACCATCATGTTTCACTTCCATACATTATGGTATAATTTTACTACCAAACATTAGGACTTTTCTACGGTGACATGCATGTCACGGTGACATGCACTTTTCGATCGACCTCATATAGGAACAGGTCGACATAATTTGTTGTTTCAGTGTAAAAAAAGTTTCATGGTGCCTACTTTGGAGATTCATATCTTACCATTGGCTAGATGGAAATTGGAGATTAAAAGTTTGTTTTGAAGCTGAAGTGTCCCTCTACACATTAAAGTACTTGGGAGCTCAATAGAAAGTCCAGAAGACCATTTTTGAACCTGACCAAAAGGCTATGCCAAAACTGGGAAACTGCTGGCAACGTGTTTGTGAAGCCTACTTTGGAGCTCAATTTTAGAAGCATGGATGCGAGTCAAGTCCAGGGGCCTCTACCACGTTAAATTACGCATTTTTTTTATACAAAGGCAAGGCATTGGATGAAAGATTGAATATCTTTTAGGCTTCAAACAAAAGGCTCGAAGTTGCTACGAATGTTGTTTTTCTGGCAGCTTGCTTGTGGTCGAAGTCTACCAGAAAACAGCCTTAGTAGCAACTTCGACCCTTTTGTTTGAAGCCTTACAGATATCCAATATTTCATCCAATGCCTTGAATTTGTATAAAAACATACCTAATTTAGCGTGGTAGAGGCTCCTGGACTCGACTCGCATTCATGCTTCTCGAATTGAGCTCCAAAATAGGCTTCACAAACACGTTTCCAGACTTAGCCATTTCCAGGCAGTTTCCTAGTTTTTGCATAGTCTTTTGATGAGGTTCAAAAATGGTCTTCTAAACTTCCTATCGAGCTCTCAATCACTTCAATATGTAGAGGGACACTCCAGCTTCAAAACAAGTCATTAGTCTTCAATTTCCATCTAGCCAATTGTATGATATGAATATCCAAAGTATGCACCATGTCTGTTACACCGAAACAACATATGAGGTCGACCGAATTCTAAATGAGGTCGACCTAATCCTAACTTAGGTCGACCGGAAAGTGCAAGTCACCGTGACATGCATGTCACCATAGGCACACCCCAAACATTATCATTGCGGTAAAGAGTAGAGACTATGATATATGCCTCAAAATTTTTTTATTTTGAAATATATCAAAGTGGATATAATTTTGAACCTTATCAATTAATTCTTCTGCAAATTCTGTTAATTTCTATTTTTTGGTTAATTTATTTTATTCTAAATGGAAAATTAAATTCCTATTAAATTTAAATAAGGAAAATTATCTATAACCAACCAAATCCACTCCTGCGGATCAGTTACAGTCTTCCAGACCTAGCAATAATGTAAGTCCAAATCCAGCACAGAATATTTGAGGGAATATTCTGTCTAGGAAGTCGAACCCTCTCTGTCTGCCTCTGCCTCTGCCCTATCCTATCCAATCCCCCCTTTCCTTTCTGACTTTTGACTCAGTTTCCGCCTCTGCCCGCATCTCTCACCTTCTTCTTTCTCTCTCCTCCCTCCTTGTTTCCCAAATCCCCCCAATCCCCTTTAAATTCGCTCATCCGCTTCTTTTACGTAACCCTTTCTTTCTTCCTCTTCGCCATCGTCGTCACCATATATAACCGCTTCTACCCGCCAGAAACCAGAAAAGAAAATCAACCGGAGAATGTGCAGCAGCGGCCAGATTTCGGAGTCGGAACAGCTGCAGCTTCTCGAGAAGCTGGAAGTTGTGAGGATCAGCGGCCGAGATAAACGCGGCCGCAAGGTCCTACGGATTATCGGCAGATATTTTCCTTGTAAGACCTTTTTCTTCTCTCTGGCTTCCGTTTCCTCTTTGTTTTTCCTGGAAGAAATTAGGGTTTTCTTCTCTCCCTCATATGGTAATGGTGGTGCCTTTCCTTTTTTCCTCCGCGTGAAATTGTAGCACGATTGGTGACCGCTGAGGCGCTAAAGAAGTATCTGGAGGTGAAGATCTTCCCTAAGCTCAGCAGGAAGCCTTTCACGGTGGTTTACCTCCACACCGGGGTTCAGAGGTCGGATAACTTCCCCGGAATATCTGCTCTCCGATCGGTCTACGACGCCATACCGGCCAATGTCAAGGACAATCTGCAGGCCGTTTACTTTGTCCATCCAGGCCTTCAGGCTAGGCTCTTCCTGGCCACCTTCGGCCGTTTCCTCTTCTCCGGCGGGTGAGGAAACTCCTCCTCCTTAGTCCTGCTTTCCTGTCATCTTTCTGCTCCTCTCCGGCTTAACCAAAATTTCCATCCCAGGTTGTACGGGAAGCTTAAATACATAAGCCGCCTTGATTATCTGTGGGAGCACATCAGGAGGCACGAGGTGGAGATTCCAGAGTTCGTCACCGATCACGACGAGGATTTGGAGGATCGTCCGATGATGGACTACGGAATCGAGAGCGATCATCCCAGGGCTCACATTGGCAGGACGGCCATCATGGACTCCCCTGTCTCCACCTACTCCATGAGGTGTATCTCGTAGCCGGCCGAGCTCTTCGGAAAATTTTCTGTTTGTTTTTGTTTTGGAGTTCTAGGAAAGGACGAGAACTCCAAGCATTGTAAATATTATCTTTAGAAAAGCAGTGAACAACCAAAGTTCGAAAGAACAAAGTTCATAATGGGTGGACCCTTCTTCGGAAATTACAATATAAAACACTGCCTCTGGGATCTTTGTTATTGACAATGTAGCCGTACTGGCCCTTTTTCTTTTGCTGCTCACGTCTTCTTCTGTCTCTTATTCTGAGACTGGGAATCATCCAGAGGTCTTGTACGGCTGTTGTGATTAGGTTTATTCCGGTTCACGAATTCAGAAAAGGAAGGAATTGGTGGGAGTTTTGTGGATGCAGAAGCAGGTGGCCCTGGAGTGCTTGCTGAAGAAATTCCTGATTCAACAGCAGCAGCAGTATTGTCATGAAGCTCTGGGCTAGTGGTTCCTGTTCGATTTCCCTCGTCCACCGTTTCCTTTGGAGAAGCCTCGGTTGGTACTTTGGAACGGCAAGGGGAAGTGGGAGTAACATTGCCAAGCCTGTTTGTTAAGTCGGAAGAAGTTGCAGTTGCCAGCCACCTCACTGTGCTTGCTACCTGAGAATAATAGAATGTTTTCCCGCTCTTCCCGTACTTGTTGAAGCACTCATTTTCAAGGAAGTTGGCAGATGTTTCGATCTCAATGCTGCGAAATTCAGAAAAAACACCTTCCTTCAGCTTGAAAACGGAAGAAATGGTAAGCAAATGGAATTTGAGCAGTCGGGTTAATCGCTACTGCAATATACCTTGGGTTGCCAAGACGCTGGCTAGCCTGCTTCACGGAATCTGTTAGTCTTTTCCTACTGGCTTCTCTGTGTGCCTCGGTTATGGCGTTCTTGTCAGATTTATGAGATGGTTTATCACAATTCTGGTTCCGGTAGTATCTTTCCTCGGCTCTCTCTAGCAGCTCTATTTTTGCGTTGACGCCTGCTCTTCTTGATGCCTTACATCCAGCTTCCCTCTTTGCATTCTCAATACCATCTGCAAATGCAGCGCACAATACAATGGGTGTGTAAGACTAAGACTATCTCTATCCATATATTCGACTTGCATTCAGCTGCGGTCCATTTAACAAACAATTTCGAAACATGTACATTTCTGAAATTGTGTAGTCAATTTCAATTGTGAGACGACCCATTCCAGATAATTTTAAAATTTGTTGACAACAAAACGCAAAAAACATAACAATTTCCCATGGCATAACAAATGCAATTGCAAAATAAGCAATCCTTGCGAGTTTGCAGGTATGCCCAATTACAATTGCACTTGCGGTTGCCATGCCCCATAACATCCTAGTTGGATTAAGCGAGTGTTAAATTTACCAAAGTAGATGCTCTAACAGATCCTATAGTAGGACTAAGCCATTGTTAAAGTCTATCAAAGGGGTGTTTCTAGTTCCAGAAAGTATTGAGGATGAAGGATGGGGTGTGTCAAGGAATTACCATCACTATCAGAAATGTCTTCATCAGAACAACTCACTTCGTCATCACGGTTCCAGAACTCAGACATCTGTTCCCCACCTACCTTGTCATTAGAGCTGAAGTAGAAGGGCACAAAGATGGGTTAGTGTCCTTTGGTAGCCTTAGCTCACACTGGATTGGATAAGAGAAGAAGCAGAGACCTGGACAAGAATATTCGTGAAAGGCCACTTCTTTGTCGGCCAGCAGCTATAGTTGCCAGCTCCTCCAAATACTGAACAAGTTGGTTCGGATGCTTGCACCCATCACACGATTTTTTACATAGTGACGGAGGCACCTGCATGGACCAACAATGTTCTCTAACTTTGGCTATTGTTAAATGGAAATGCAAGGAAACAAAGATACCGTTGACTGAACACACACCCTATAGGGATAAAAAGAAGGAATTCTTATTACCTCTTCCCCAAAGTTTTCAAGGATCTTTTTCCGACGACAACCAGAACCCTCGCAATATTCAACCATCTAGATGATGTCATGCACATTTTTTTATTAAAACTACGCTGGAACTAACCAGACAATGGGACAACATGAATAGAGACACTCACCAGCTTAAAATCAGAAAGGGATTTCTTTGACGATCCTTCTCGTGAACCACCTGAAGACTGCCCTTTCTTGTTCTCAGCATTACTTATAATAAACTCCTGCCCAGATACTTCAAACTTAGTAAGTCTAAATCTGCTATAGAACTCAGAAGACCTGTAAAAGTTGAAGCGAATAAACAAATACCATTCTTTTGCGATCATCAATGCCATAGTATAGTATGCTCTTTGATGGCAATTGATCACGTCCTGCTCTACCTGATTCTTGATAAAAGCCTTCCATTGATTTTGGTATGTTAAAGTGGCAAACCAATCTAACATCCTTCCTATCTATGCCCTGGAAGATCATTAGTCATTGCCAACATTCCCTAAAATAGGCTTGATTCAAATGAGAAATATTCCGATAAATGAGTTTGAAAGGAAAAGTTGCTTACCATCCTGAAAGAACATAGCTGTCTCAAGTACTGACCATTGGATGGAAAACACTCGAAAGAAAAAGAAAGAAAAGCAGAAAATGATTAAAAAATGTTGTTCGATACAAAGGACATGTGGACGAAACAAAGATCAGTCATCATTACCCGAAAGCCACGGTGGCTACAACAACTTGTATTTTCGAAGACATCCAATCATCCAAAACAGAGCTACGCAGGTTGTTGTTAATGCCAGCATGGTAAGCTGAAGGTAACATCAGGAAGAACAAAGATTACATTACTAACTGGACATAATCAATGAGTGATAAAGGGGAATGAAGAATCTGAGCGAAAACTTTTTAACTACCGGCACATGAAATGCCATGTTTGGAGAGGTGAGCAGCCAATTCATCACAGGTTGCTCTTTCAAGGCAGTAAACAATAGCACAAACATCACCGCTGGATTTGAGCAGAGCGGATAAATCGTTGAAGACATTATCTAGAAGATCTTTGTATCTAACTGCATTTAAGGAAATAGCTTAAGCTGCATCAGAGTTGTTACGACATGAAACTTCAAAATTAACTTTCAAAAATTCTGAATCTCAAACCAACTTAAGTGAGTGAATCACAAAACATGAGACTTCTTATCTTTCACTTTGGACAACAAGAACATGCTTAAGAGAAGCAGAAGTCAAAAGATTTCATGAGCAAAAAATTTGGAAATGCGTGTTGTCCTACTTGACAATGGTATTCCTTTCTACTAGAAACTTGGTATTACTGGTCCACTAAGGAACCATTTGTGTTTAATCTTTCAGTAACTGTCTTTTAACCTCTTCTGGTTCTATGCAATAAGCAAGCAGAACCTACCTTCGTAATATATATTTGAGCGATTGAAAGAAGATTTGAGTAATAAAGGGCTCTCCAAGCACAGTGATTCTATTACGTCCTTCTGAACTCTGCCCAACAAAGGGGGGAAAACACAAGTAGAATCATCATCACTCTTTGCTTTCTTATCATGAAACAAAACTCTAGTTTTCTTTCATTCTTTGAGTAGACAGGTATATATCATAGGAAAATCAGAAAAGAAAATGCACTGCTGCACCATACGTACTTAGGAACTGCTGTAGCTGTGAGAGCCAGTATCGGTACATCTGGAAGGTGGTTTCTCAAGGAAGAAAGTTTGCGATAGCTAGGCCTGTGCCGTGAAAAGAATAACTAGAATTAATCAAATTTCAATTTTTTCTTTTTTCTTGAGACAAGACAATCATGATTAATTCTAGTAGTAGCTAAAATCTAAAATAACATGCTGTTTTTTTTTTCAGAAACAGGTACTAGATGTACCGAAACACCTAAGCAAATTTATAGACATGTCCGATTTGACTGGAGCCAAGTGACACAATGCAATGCGACAAGCAAGGTTACAGAAACAGAAATGTTGACAACATAAGCAGGTGACATTTTCCCCATGGAGGAAGAGGGAAACAAAGTAATGAGATTATGCAAGTGTAGCTCATTCCAAGAAAGGATGACCAACCTGAAGTCATGGCCCCATGAGGAAATGCAATGCGCCTGAAATTAGAGGTGATGGAGAAAAGATGAGAGCAAATACCATCTCCTTCCATTAAAAAATTGAGTTTCGATTTCACTTAAAATATTAGACCTCCGTGAATAAGCCACACCTCATCAATGGCAATGATATTCAGCAGCCCTCTAGCATGAATCTTGTTGAGCTTGGACATAAATCCTGGTGTTGCAATCAATTCTGGCGTTACATATAACAGCCTTGTGGATGGTTTTCCAGAATCAAGGTCTTCATGAATCTAACGAATTCATAGAATATCAGATGCCAGAGAACATGGACTTGTAATCCTAAATTTACATGTTTTAAACGGTGTTAAATCGATTTGAAAGTGGGAAGAAGAAAAACTTAGCCAACTAATATATGTCTCTCTCTCAAAACCAGTATCCCAGACACCCAAAAAGGGTCACAAGCACAGAACAGCCGCACCTTAGTTTTGGCATGGGTTGTTTGAGTTGAAGATAGAAATTCAGCAGTGATTCCTTTCTCCTTCAATGCGGTAACTTGGTTTTCCTAACAATCAGAATACAATCTCCTGATGCCGCAAAGTCCCACTACGTAGAATCCAAAGAAAAGGAAGAGATGGAGAAAGCTGAAGCAGACTTACCATCAGAGCTGGAAATAGAAAACAACCAAAGGCAACCGAAATATAGTTAGTAGGAGATACTCAGTACCTTTCCATATATTACGTGGCAGGCAATCTAGCTATGACCAACGAAACAAAAAGCAAGAACAGCGGCATTGCACCTATTAAAGGAGAAACCACAAGCACAATCCCAGGTTTTGCCAATGCAGGAATTTGGTAACACATTGACTTCCCTCCTCCCGTCGGCATCAGGCAGAAACAATCTCTTCCTGTAGCAGCGGCCGAAAAATCTCTTCTTAGCAAGCAGAAAAATGAAACGATTCCAACGAGAAACAAATTTCCAAGGAGTTAGAAATCGGCACCGGACAAAACAGCTTGAATCGCCTCGAACTGCTTCCCTCTGAAATCGGAGTGGCCGAAATGCCATCTCAATAGCTTCACCAGTCCTTCCCTGTCGGTAATTTGCTTATTGCCGCCGCATACTTTTTTCGCCGGCAACAACGGCTTCTTCATTTTTCTCCCCCAATTCGGAATTCGCTACACAATTTCAGTTGTGCAATTTCTTCATGTCGCTTGGCCACACCGCCTAATTGACGACGACGTAAAATCTACTATCGCAACTAGTGGTCTCGTTCTGGAAATCCAACGAAGGCCAATGAACTGCCGAGCTCTTGATCGCCGGGACGTCGGAGCTCCTTTCACCCGCCACATCGACCAATTCGGACTGAGGTAGGGTAAAATAGAGTACCACGGTCCAAAATCATATACTTGCGCGCCTGACCTTGCAGTCACTTGAACTGGTTCGCGGGCTCACTAGAATTTGGACTATGCCATTCTAAATGGGCTAGAACTCTGGGCTGGGCTAGCCCACTCAAACTCGCTCTGTCTCTCACTCCGACCAACACACAAAGCTCCAGAATAATTTGCTGGCGCAGATGGCTGGGGTTCGAAGCTTTTTCGCAGCTTAGGAGCTAGACTGGAGGTAAATTGTTTTCAGCGTAGTTGGAGTCTTGTGAATTCTAATCGCGCAAAGATGGTGTTCTTGTGCTGGTCGCGGCCGTCACCGCAGGAACAGCAGGATTGCCTCCGGATGTAATTACATTATTATATATCTATATCGGTCTCGCTGTCCCAACTACCGCTTTGCCTCGTCCCTGTTTTAATCTGGAATTAGTGGGTTCCTTCTTCCTTTGCTTGTTACTCTGTATTTCCAGGTGCAGTAGCTTCAATTACGATTCCAAGTTCAGGGGAGCCACTGCTAAGCCGCTGAAATCCCTCAAAGAAGACGACGAACTCGCCAAGGATGGTTTCTCTCTTAACCATGCGAGGGTTTTAGTTGGCTCTGGTTCAGAAGCTTACGAAAAGGCCAAGTCGGCTCTTCAGACATGGAGGTACGTTGTGTTTTTGCTGGTCAGTTTCGTGTAATTGGAAACACAAGAGTTCTCCCCATTATGATTGATGGTGGGAGTTTTCTGGTTTTGTTTTAGTGTAGACATTTTGGGTTCAATTGGGCGTTCGTGGATCACAAAACCCCAGTTCAGAGTGGGGTAAAGTTCTGCGTTTGTGTGAAGGAGTTTGTGCCGTGGTTGATGATGCCGCTTCAGGTGGTGTATGTGAACGATGCAAGGAATCCTAACAAGGCCACTGCCTCGTATGGTTTCGGCAGTGGCACGCTCCGGGGTCACTTACTGGTAAGTTGCTTGGTTATTCAATTGCTACTCTTTGCAAAATTGACAATGGATGGGGAAAAAGAAGACACGGCTCAATATTGACATGAGGAGTTTGTTCTTCTTTCTTTTTGGGGACGATGGCAGGCTGGCGAAGAGCGTTTCTCCATTGAAATGGACGAGAACAAGCAAGTTTGGTACGAGATTATGTCTTTGTCGAAACCAGCCCACTTCCTGTCTTTTGTAGGGTACCCATATGTTCAACTAAGGCAGAAGTTTTTCGCTCATCAGTCTACCAATGCACTTCTGAAACACGTCACCACTTCTGCATAGTTTGCTTATTTGTTGACAAGGCAAACCAACTATATATGCTTGGGAATGAAGTAGAACACTCGATTGCATTGTGTATTCCTTGTTACAAGCCTGTACAAATCTATATAAGTTGAATGATCACTTATTGATGGAATCTGTTTTCTCTCTTAATTGCAATACATGTTAAATTGACACAAAGAGCAAGCAAAATAGATACTATCATATCACATGCTTCCCATAAGATAAGATAAACTGAAAAGTTGTGAGAAGAAATTAAAATAGGGACGATGGTGGCTGAATGGAGAAAGTGTTGGTGGAATGGGGAATCAATGACTAGGTATTGTCTGTTGCAAAACGATCACCGCCAAGTCCCTTAGTAAAATGCCAGCTACTTGATAACGGATCGGTGGTATTTTGCTTGGGAGAATGTTATGGAGATCGCACGTTGACAAACAAAATAACAATCAATCTCAATGTGTGATGCAAGCCAAATCCGGCTCGTGATTATCACAGTCACGCAATTGGGATTCAATGAGAAGAACTCGATTGAATTGTGCAAATTGAAAAATGAAAACTAAAACGGACCAAAGGTGCAATTACACATAAGGGAAGAGGCTCGATTGGATTATGATCGAAGTTTAACCACGATTGATGTGGTTTTCAATTGATACGAAGCACAAACGATGCTGGAACACGACCAACAACAAAAGGATTTGGTGACAATGTCACGTTTTCATTAACTCTAAAAAAGGTTAATAATATTTTATGCCCCTCTATTATTGCAAATTAACAACTATACCATTATACTACTACTTTGCACAAACATGCCCCTCTCTTATTCCAAAGTAACAAATATACCCTTCCATCTCCATTTTCGTCAGTTGACCGTTAAAAGGTTTGTTTTACTACAGTAGCCTTTATTGTCAATTATTGTACAGCAAAACCAACAATTAATTAATTAAATTTATTATTATTCCCTTCCTTCCCCTTCTCCATTCCCATCGAGGAATAGCCATGCAACCACCCGCCGCTGACACTTGGGGGAATGAGGTTGAGCCTGAGGCCGCTCTCACCTCCTAGCTATCGCAGTCGGAAACACTAAACCATCACGGATGAGTTGCATCTCGCTCCCCCTCTACCTCCGTCGCCTCTCTTGTGGCGACCTTCACGTTACGTCAACAAAACCCAACCTCCTCTACCATTTCTCGATCCAAACCCTAAAACAGCAAGCGCTCGACCGATAACATAGAGACAATAATCCGTCGGCCAATTCAACTCCTCTTTCTAAATTTTCGTTTTAGATATGGTATCAAAATCTCACGGTATCATCCACCTCCTCTTACCATTCAATCGAAACTCTCCATGCCGCTAATTTCTACAAATCTGCTTCCTTCTCCAAAATAAGAAGAACCTCCCTCAATTTTGAATCGCTCGACTAAACCCGCCCCGCAGCTGATTCATCGACGATGGATCCTTCTCCAAAATCAAAAGAACCTCTCTCAATTTCAACAACTTATTCAGATGTGTTTGGAGTTTCCGACAGGGGTAGCTGTGACGTGAGAGTCGCCAAAATCCTAATATGATTCCATCAGGCGGCGACAACATGTGGTTGCTTTGGGAGAAGAGAAAATTGGACTTGGGGGTAGATCAGATTTGCAGTTGTGGTTGCTTTGCGAAAAGATAAAATTGAAGGGTTGTAGGGATACTCACCGATGGTAAAGATAATGAAAATAATAATTTAAAATTTATTTATTTATTTGATTCTCCTTAAAAATGAGTTGTACAATGGTTGTCAATAAAGGTTATTATAGTCATTTTACAAGTCTGTTAACGGCCGACTGACGGGAATGAGGATGGAAGGTTATATTTGTTCCATTACAATAATAGAGGGGTATGTTTGTGCAAAATAATAGTATAGGGGCACGTTTGTTAATTTGGATAGTAAAGGGACAGAAAATGCTATTATCCCAAAAAAAACTAGATTTACATCGAGGCTTTCAAGCCATTAAATAGCATTCAACAAACTAAAATTGAAATCTAATCTAACAAGAATCAAATCCAGATCAAACTCTAGGAAACATAAATCCAAACTATAAAAGGAAAGAATTCTAGGTTGCTTAACACACAAGTACTTGACTTCATGCGCAAGTAACGAACTCAGCCTCCATAGCTACTTTGAGGCTCTCGTTCGAAGCTTTCCAAGGAGCTTCAAGCCAATCAGGTTTCAATCGATTCTTCATCAAGTCTCCAGCTTCATCCTCCAACTCCCAGCTTCCTTCGATTGTACACTAGTCGTCTCGAATAAGCCCTCATAGTAGGCAGCTCGAAATGTCTCCGGACTTGGCCAAAATCAGGCAATTTCCAAGTTTCTTCATAGCAATTTGCGACCACTTGTTCATGCAATTAAAGACTTGTAATTGAGCAACCAATCCTTCAGAGTCATAAACAAACTCTTGTTCTTCAGTTCCCAACCTTCCTCTTGCTTTTCCATCGATTAAAATGTACGATATGAATCTCCAAAGTAAGCACCATGAAACGGGTTGAACACTTAGCCAAATTCACCCCCTTTACCTTTCAACATGAATGGATACTTTGGCAAGAAATTCAACCTTGTGCAAGGGGGTATTTCGGATCATATCAATTTATTTGGTACATTCATGAAATACTAGATTAGCGACAATATCAAGAGCATCTTGATTTTCAAAATATAGGATAGCCGGTTGATGTTGAGGGACCCCCAAGCTCATGTAAGAGCCATCAAATCGATATCAGTTCACTAGTACAGCCGATCATGGCTCGATATTATGCTTATATGGAAGAGCGAGCGAGTACACATTTGGTTTCTTGGTTCGCCAAGAAATGGGCGTTGCTCCGAGGGTGATGAAGTAACTAGAAATGGATCGGCGAGTGAGTGGACAACCTTCTCAATATGCAACACAAAAGGCATTTAGGTCGAGTGGCCTGATTCAGGTCCAATTGTACGCATTTTGCCCCTCGTTTCTTGATAGTTTGACTTTGCATTTCATCGTTCCTCGACATATTTCACGCTAGGTTGTGCTTGTTTTGATACATTTCAGGTCCTAGCGCATGTGGAAGGGCCGAGGACAAGTTCGGGACGATTGGAGGTCAAAAAGTGCAAAAACCAAAGACAAGTCCAAAGCGTCCAAGAATTAGCTGCAGTTCACGGCCAGGCATTTGAGTTCATGGCTTCTGAGGCTGTGAACTGGATCCACAAACCGTGAACACCAAGGTGTCCAGGAGGGTTCCAGAGGTTACTGACGACCAGGCAGTTCATGGTCTCTAAGACCATGAACTTTGAGTGCAAGCCGTGAACCCTGGAGAGTGAAGCGGTGCATTTTGGAGACGACACTGAGTTTGTGGACGCGTTTAGGTGTTCATGGCCGTGATGGAAGTCTGTGAACTCAGCTCGATCTGAGTATAAAGGGAGAGCTGAAAGGAAGAAGAGGGGGAGCTTCATTTTTAGGTGAGGTTTTCATTTTTCAGAATAAAGAGGATTCTAGTGAGAGGTTAGGGTTTCTTCTAGAGTGAGAAATTGCAAATCAAAGGAGGAAGAAAGAGCTTTGGGCTTGTTCCTAGCTAGAGAATTGAATATTTCTTTATCTCAAGGGTGGCTCAAGCAACAAGGAGGAGAGATTGGCATCACTTCATGGTTCTTTCTTCCCCTTTTGTTGTTTTCTCTTGCCTAGCTATGGAATATCCTACCTACTCACTTGGGTATTGTGAATCTTAGTCTCTCATGTGTTAATATGTAAGAATATGAACCTATTGTGTTGATTGAGTGTTTTATATGATATTTGAGGTATTATTCATGAATGATTGAGTGTGCTAGCTTTAACTCAATATTGGGTAAAATTGACCTAGAGCGTGGACATCCCCTTTTGGTCCAATAGGAAGCTAGACTTCTTAGCCACTTGGGTAACTTCCTTTAGGTCGATTTAAGACCAAAATCTCAAGTATCGGAGTAGGGCCGTGAATCCACCGGGATTGGTCTCTCCACCGACCGGATTAAGTTCCGAGGGTTTGGTTTGCAATCCTTAGTCGGCTAGTCGACAGGGTTAGGTTTCCTAGCCTATTGTTCACACCCTTAGCCGAAAGTTTAAGTGAGTTAGCTTTCTAACTTGTTGAAACGATTCTCAATTAGCTAACTAAGAGAATTAGGGATCTCATTTGTTGATCGGTGAAAAGGGCTAGGTTCCCTAGCTATGAATCACAATCCTTAACCTAACGGTTAAGAGAGCTAGTCCTACTAGCTTATATTTGTTGATTTTCCTTCATTGATAGACTAAGGGAGTTTGTACCTAGCTAGTTTCACCCACCTCGCGGTGTATAAACACGTCCTTCACACAACAGCTTTGTTTGTCGCTTCTTAGCATGAGACTAGGGTGAGCTGAAGTTGGAGAGTGAACAAACTAACTCGAGATATTTACAGCATAGGTGAGGTTTCGGTTCAGTTACTTGAATGCACTACATGACTCTCTTCCATACGCTTGGATATACTGTTCTGGCCCCTTTTCTGGCGCATTGGAGGTTTAGGGTGGTTTTGGAATATCCTGGATGGGTACTTCATGAGCTTATTCATTTGGACTATAGTTGGCATATAGGGTTTAGTGGCGCTATTGTTGATCTCCCCTCCTTTCTTTCTTCAGGTTTACAGGTCTGTATGGCTTGTTCGCAACTTTGATTCATTACTTCATTACATTCAGCTCATCTCCAAGGTACGCTAATTGCCTCATCCTTAAAAACATTAAGTAGCTAAACTTCTGGGAGAGTATCATTGACATTCTTATTAACCCAAAAATTTTCCCCTTATTCTCTTAGCTATGTCATTGATGCAACGAGGGACCTTAATGAGAGAAACATAATTGCTAGGCGGGCAACAATGACCTCAAAGTAAGTATGATTTTGATCTCTCTTAGATTAAAGGAATATGTATTGATTGTACATTGGGTTTGTAAGGGGATGAAGGTGGGGTTTTCGGATGTCGGTTTTGACACTTTGCTTACTGATTGCTACCTTTTTCGTTTTAAGCAAAGACAACATGTTTCAAGTAAAAATGGGAACTTGGTGATAACCATTAATGCTACTTAACAAGGATGCTTGCTTCATGGAAGTGATATAATGTCATGGACAAAGCTGGTTTTAGACCTCTATCCCCCTGGAACATCATTCAGGT